CCCTGCCGGTCATCTAGTCCAACCCCCCGCCCAAGCAGGAGACCTTACGCCATTTCTGACAGGTGGCAGTCGGGTCTCTTCTTGAAAGCTTCCAGGGATGAAGCTCCGACAACTTCCGAAGGCAACTTCTGTTCCATCGATTGATTGTTCTGTCAGAAAATTTCTCCTTATTTCCAGGCTGAATCTCTCCTTGATCAGTTTCCATTAATTGTTTCTTTTCTGGCCTTCAGGTGCTTTGGAAAATAGCTTGACCCCCTTCCTCCTCTCTCTGGTAGCCCCACAAATATCGGAACACTGCTATCAGGGGTAAAATGTAAAATTTGTTACTACCGGTTCTGTGGGTGTGGCTTGGTGGGGGGGTAATGTGACTGGGTGGGCGTGGCCAACCTTTTTTTTAAAAAAAAACTTTTTGAAGCATTTTTTCTAATGCTTTGAAAAGCCTCTGCCAATCAGGCAACTCAGCTGGGATCGTCAGAGAGGTTTTTTTTTAAATGCTTTGAAAAGCCTCTGACGATCCCGGCTGAGCCGCGGGATCGTCAGAGGCTTTTTTTTACTTTTAAAAGCATTTTTTCATCGGAAGAGCTTTTAAAAGTAAAAAAAAAAAGCCTCTGATGATCGTGCGGCTCAGCTGGGCATGGTGGGGTGGGAGGGCACAGGGATTTTTGCTACCGGTTCTCCGAACTACCCGCAGCCATCCCTACCGGTTCGGGCGATCCGGTCTGAACCGGAAGCATTTCACCCGACTGCTATCGTGTCTCCCCTAGTCCTAGTTTTCATTAAACGAGACATGCCCAGTTCCTGCAACTGTTCTTCGTATGTTTTAGCCTCCAGTCCCTTAATCATCCTGGTTCTCTTCTCTGCACTTTTTCTAGAGTCTCCACATCTTTTTTTATAGTTTGGTGACCAAAACTGGATTTAATTTTGGGCCAGACTAGGAGGAAAAGAAACAGAATTGTGCTATTAATTTTTCCAAACTGACTAACCATACAGGTTAGTTCACGGATTTCTGTAACCAATATAACTTCCAGATATAGGCAGTCCTCATCTTACGACAGTTGAGCCCGTAATTATTGTTGCTAAGCAAGACACTGAAGTGAGTTTTCCCTCATTTTATGACTTTTCTTGTCACCTTGGTTAAGTGAATCACTGTGGTTAAGTTAGGAGCACGGCTTCCCCCCCCACCCCACCCCATTGACTTTGCTTGTCAGAAGGTCGCAAAAGGTTATCGCGTGATCCCGGGACACTGCACTGCCACCGTCGTAAGTGTGAGTCAATTACCAAGCATCTGAATTTTGATCACGTGACCAGCGGGATGCTGCAAAGTAAGTCTGAAAATGGTCGTAAGTCACTTTTTCAGTGGTATTGTAATTTTCAAGTCACTAAATGAATGGTTGTATATAGGACTACAATTCCAGTCCACCACGTCCATTGGCTCTCTCAGTTTGTAGATAATAGAATGTATTTCCTAGAGAAAAAAAAGTCGAATTTAAGGAATGTAGATGCTCTTTAAAATAAGGAATGATATTACTTAGGCAGGAATTCCAACTCTGAGCAAGAGTGATCAGAAGTGATCCATTTTTAAAAACAAGAGGCCAAAATTCTCCACTCTCCACCGAAGGCAAAATATTCTGTTTTGTTCTACCGTATATATTTGTTGGATCAAAAGCTGTAAGACGGCAGGCCAATTTCAGACAAATATTAGTCTTTCAAAAACAGACTGACCCAGAAATCCCTTTTCAGCAAAAATAAATAAATAAAATAAACCGAAAGTTTTTGAGATCACAAGCATTTGATTAGCATTCAAGACATTTCCCATCTGCTCCATCCCACCTTTGAAGATGCTGGATCCATTTAATTGATCTGACAGTGAAAGACAAGACATATGAATCTGTATAAACCCCATTTCATGCCTTCTAAGCCAGCAAGCAGAGGTCAAGACATCAGTGGCAGTGAATTCCACAAGCTAATTTTATAAAATCCTTCTCTGTCCCAATTTCTGTTACTTGTGAAATATCCTTGACGTGCCAGATGTAACTTTAATTTAATAGGGAAACCAAGATCATTTAATAATAAACTCAGGTTTTATGTTTAAAGCCTTCTTTCCAGCCATCCTTCTTTCCTTTCTTCCTTCTCATCTTCCGTCATTTCTTCCTTCACTTTTCCTTCCACCCTCTTGTTCCTTCCTTCCTCCCTCCCCTCCCTCCCTCCCTTTTCCTTCCACCCTTCATCCTTCTCATCTTCCTTCCATCCATTCTTTTTCCCTCTTCCTTCCTTTCCTCCCTCTCCTTCCTTCCTTCTTCCTTCACCCTTTTTTCTTCCATTCTTCCTCCCTCCCTCCCTCTTCCCATCTCCCTTCCATCCATTCTTCTTCCTTCCTCCCTTCCTCCTATCTTCCTTCTATCCTTTTTCCCTCTTCCTTCCTTTCCTCCCTCCCTCTCCTTCCATTTTTCTTCCTTCCTCCATCCCTCTTCCTTCCATCTATTTTTTCCCTCTTCCTTCCATTCTTCCTCCCTCCTTCCTTCCATCCTTCTTCCTCCCTCTTCCTTCCATCTATTCTTCTCTTCCTCCCTTCCTCCCTTCTCGTCTTCCTTCCATTCTTTTTCCCTCTTCCTTTTCTCCCTCCCTTTCCTTCCTTCTTCCTTCACCCTCCCTCTTCTTCCTTCCATTCTTCTTCCTTCACCCTCCCTCTTCTTCCTTCCTTACATTCTTCTTCCTCCCTCTTCCCATATTCCTTCCATTTATTCTTCCTTCCTCCCTTCATCCTCTTCTCATCTTCCTTCTATCCTTTTTCCCTCTTCTTCCTTCCTTTCCTCCCTCCCTCCTTCCTTCCATTCTTCCTTCCTCCATCCCTCTTCCTTCCATCTATTCTTCTTCTCTTTCTCCCTTCCTCCTTCCTCCCTTCTCATCTTTCTTCCATCCATTCTTTTCTCCTCTTCCTTCCTTTCCTCCCTCCCTCTTTCCTCCCTCATTCCCTTCTCATTTCCTTCCCTTCCTTCCTTCCCACCTGCCTGCCCTCCTTCCCATCTATTTAGTTTCTCAACTATGCAGGTCATAGTTGACTCAAAGGTGCTTTTTTCCAAAAGGCAGCTGGCCTTTTTCTCTTTTTTTCCCCCTTTGCGAACATTTCGATTTTCATCCAAGAAGCTTTTTCAGTTCAGTTTTATTCAAAGGAAAAAAAACCCCAAGTCCAGTTGCCTTTTGGAAAAAACACCTTTGGATTCCCTCTTTTTTCTTTTCTTCTCATCTTCTCTTCTCACTTCTCCTCCCTCCCTTCCTTCCCTCTCTTTCTTCTCTTCTCTGCTGCCAGATAGAGTACAGTATTGATTTATATGTTGCCCTCTGTCAGATGGGCTAGTCATATGAATGCGATCAATCAATCAATGGCCCAAACTCTCCCCTTTGATTTAGTTTATTGTTCAGTGTATTTTGTGAACTCCAATGAAAGCATCTTGTCACAAACCAGAGGGGACTTAACCGTATTGATCTGTGTCAGATGTACATCCTTCTACAAAGCCTTCCCTGCTCCTCTTCTTCTGCCTAACAACAGACCTGCAAGGTAGGTTGAGGGGAGGGAGGGAGGGAGAGAGAGAGAGACAGAGAGAAAAGAGAGAGAAAAAGAGAGAAAAGAGAGAGAGACAGAAAGAGACAGAAAAAGAGAGAAGAGACAGAGAGGAAGAGACAAGAGAAAGAGGGAGAAAAGAGAGAGAAAGACAGGGAAAAGAGAGACAGAGACAGAAAGAAAGAGACAGAAAAAGAGAGAAGAGACAGAGAGGAAGAGACAAGAGAAAGAGGGAGAAAAGAGAGAGAAAGACAGAGAAAAGAGAGACAGAGACAGAAAGAAAGAGACAGAAAAAGAGAGAAGAGACAGAGAGGAAGAGACAAGAGAGAAAAGAGAGAGAGAGAAGAGACAAAGAGAAAGAGGAGAAAAGAGAGAGAGAGAGAAGAGAGACAGAGACAGAAAGAGACAGAAAAAGAGAGAGACAGAGACAGAGACAACAGAAAAAGAGAGAAAGAAAAAAAAGAGAGAAGAGAAAGAGAGAGAAGAGAAAGAGACAGAAAGACAGAGAAAAGAGACAGAGGAAGAGACACAGAGAGAGAGAGAGAGAAATAATCTTGCCTCCACTTCCCTCCCCACGAGTGTCACATCCTGAGAACCCCGCTCTCCGCCACCAATTTCGTAAAGCATTTCTCCTCCTCCAACGGAAAGGAGGCCACGCAGCACTCCTTCCCCAAACACTAAAGTTTAATAAGACACTGCGGTGGGAAAGATAGGGGTGTGTGTAGGGGTGTGTTTGTGTGACCTCACCCCAATTCAACCCTGCTCGGACCTTCGCGGGTGGCCGGGCAAACGAGGGGGAGCGCGCGCACAACCCACCCACCCTGCCAAGAAAGGCGCGTGTCCGTTCCACACACACACACACACACCCCGCGCAAGCCTTTGATCTGGACCCCGAGGGAGCAAACGGGGGTGGGGGGCTCCAACATCGCGACCTCCAACTTACTCCAAGCTGGAAACTGGGGAGGAAGAGAGGGGGAGGGGGAAGGAAAACATGGAAAGAAGAGGAAGGGGTGGGGGAGATCAGATCTTGACCCTCCCCCGCGCCTGTGCATGCATGCATGCACGCATGTATGCATGCCTGCGTGTGCTTTATCGTGGGATTCAACCAGCATCTTCCCTCCCCCCCCCGCCTCCTTTTTTTTTTTTTTGGCAAGTTTTGCAATGCAGAGGGGAAGGGGGTTGCAAAATGCGGAGGGGAAGGAAGGGGGATTCCTTCGCAACGCCGTCCCCCTTTCTCCTTCCAAACTCCATCCTGCAGCTTCTGGTTGGCAGGCAATGCGGGGGAGGAGGAAGAGGAGGAGGAGGGAAGAGGAAGGGGGGGGTGGAAGAACTGCGGAGGCAAGCCCCGGTGGGCTCTTCCACCCACTCCTCCCTCCCTCCCTCCTTCCTCCGGCTCCCCGATCTTGCAAAAAAAAAAAAAAAAGAAAGAAAAAAAGCCACACAGGATCGGGCAAAGGGGGGCGGCGGCGGTAGCAGCTTCTCTTTTGACGCGGGGGAAGCGCACCGCGGCTATTGCTTTTAGGGAAGTCAATCGCTGGGGCCGGGGGACGCGTGCGCAGTGGAGACCCTCTGCCAGCAAGGGTTTTTCTTTTTTTTTTTTTGCCTTTTTTTTTTTTTGCCTTTCCCTTTTTTTTTTTAAAGCTTGCTTTCCAACAGCCCCCCCCCTCTCCCCTCCTCCTCTCTTTGCTCAAATCTGGAGCGTTTTGAGGGGGGGGCAAAAAAAAAAAGAGAGAGAGAGAGAAGGAAAGAAAAAGAGGGGAGGGGGAGGGTTGGGGAGATCGAGGCACGGATGCGCCGGGATTCAGCCAGCCCAGCGCTGGAGGCTTGCGGGGGGCCTCGGATGCAGGGGGAGGTGAGTAAGGGGTCCAGCCCTTTAAAAAAAAAAAATATTATTTTTATTTTATTTAAAAGGACGTGGGGGGGGGGGGTGTTGGTCCAAACTAGCGATCGGTCCGGAAGGAAAAGCAAAAAAGCAACTCTGTAGTCTCGGGGCAGGGGGGGAGGGGGGGGGGGAGAGAAGGGGTGTTCCCTTGGGGGGGGGGCAATCAGGCACGGACCGAAAGGAGAACCTGCCTTTGAATCGCACCCCGATTTCTCCCCTTACTCCGCGCACCCGGGGCTCTTCCCTTGTTTCATTGCTTTTGCAACGGAGGGGTCGGTTGGGAGGGGGGGGATCTTGAATCATCAGACCCCCCCCGGGAAGGGGGGGGAGGGGCAAGGCCATCAAGCCACACACACACACACACACTCGCACGCACGCAAACAAACACACACACACGCTTCCCCGGCGAATGCAGCAAGCGTGCCCCGTTGCAACCGGAGAGGCGTTTGCAAAGCCCAAGGGTGGCAAGGAGAGGAGAGGGGAGGGGAGGGGAGGTCTTGGATTGGGGGGAGTGGGGGGGGTGGAGGTGGGGAAGAGATCTTGCCCCTTGCATTGCAAACCCTGCCCGGCGGGTGGCTGGGGAAGCGCGGCAGCCTCCCCCCCCCCAAAAAAATGAAAGCCATGTGCGCTGCGTTGCAAGTAACATGCAAGGAGGGGCGTCCCCGGGCGCCAGGTTGCAAAAGAGCTGCTTCCGATCCGGGGCTTAGGGGTGGCCCAAGGGATTTGCCAGCTTAACCCGGGCGTGTAGTGGTTTTGGGGGGGCTGTTACCCTTGCACGACGACTCCGAGGCGGTGGGTGGGTAGGGGGGCTTCTCTCCCCCCGGTCCCGAGGCGGTGGGTGGGTGGGGGGGCTTCTCTCCCCCCCCCTCCCCACCCCAGGGAAGACACCTTCCCCTCCTCTAGGTTGGGCTGCAATCGCCTCTGCGCCTCCTCCTTGCAGTGGGGAGGGAGGAGGGGGGGAGAGAAAGTGGATGGGGGAGGGGGGATTTCCCTTCCCGGATGCTCCCAGAAAAAGGGGGTTCCCTTGTTTGCCCTCCCCCCCCTCCCTTCCCCTCCCCCCTCCCCAACCAACCCTGGGATTGCTTAGCATCCTCCGCCGGAGCCGGGGAAATCCCTGCCTTTTTGCAAGACAGCCAGATGCAATAATTCCCCCCCCTTTTTTTTTTTTTTTTTTTGCAAATCTTGCCACGGGGATCATATAACCGGGGATCCCCCCCCACCCCTTTTTTGCTGTCTTGCCCCCATATTTGGGGCTTTCCCTCCCCCCCCCCACTTTCTCGCGTGGGGAGACCCGGCTTAGGTGGAAAAGGGCTGGAGGCTTCTTTCTTTCTTTCTTTCTTTTCCCACGTCCTGAGCTGCCTTGTCGCCGTGGCTGCTTTCTCCCCCCCCCCCCGTCCTCCCCCCAAGCGACCTGGGAATCGCCCCGCGGAATCCTCGCCCGGAGGGTGGTTTTTTTTTTTTTTTTTTTTGCCTTGCCTTTAAAAGGGATCGGTGGTTTGGGGAAAAAAAAAGGGGGGATCTGGGGCTGCAGATAGTTGTTTCGCACCTTTAACAGGTGTGGGTGTGTGTGTGTGTGTGTGTTGGGGGGGGGGAAATAGCTGAATCGGCTTTTTGTGCTTTTTGCAGGGCTGTTGCAGCCTCGGTGACGGGTCCTTATAAGATTTGAGGATCGATCCTGTAATAATGGGGAGTGGGGGGGGGTGTTTGCTCCTGCAGCAGGTTCAATCTGGGTGGATTTGAGGTTTCGCTGCCTGTCGAGGGAGGTTCTGTCTTTTTTGGGCCCAACAGATGCAGCCAGAACTCTCTCTCTTTTTTTTTTTTTTTCATTTTCATGCAATGCAAGCAGAATAGAGCTGGAAGGGACCTTGGAGGTCATCTAGTCCAACCCCCTGCTCAAGCATTTATTTATTTATTTATTTTATTTTATTGGTTCGATTTATATGCCGCCCTTATTTCCGGACACTCAGGGCGGCTTACAATGTGTTAAACAATGGCCGTCATACTTTTGTATATACCTGTGTGTGTATATATGTGTGTGTGTGTGTGTGTGTGTGTGTGTGTGTGTGTATATACACACACACACACACACACACACACACACACACACATATATATATATATATATATAAATATATATATATGCGCCCTTCATACATACATACATCTATATATATATATACACACAAGCATACATATATATTTATATATATATATATATTTATATATATAGTATATATATATTCCCATATATATATATATATTATTATATATATATATATAAAATTTGAAGGCTGATGCCAACCTTGAGCCTTGGAGAGATTACAATGTGCAGAAATTGCAGGCAGCTGTGTTATATAACAGGGTGCACTATATGTGTACTTCAAGGCTCTTGTATATGTATATTTTATTCACCACAATGTACGATTTGATTATGAGTGTTTCTCTCAGGATTGGAACTGTGAGGTCCTTGGTTGCTCTCCCAGCTTATTTATTTATTTATTATTTTTTAATTTCGATTTATATGCCGCCCTTCTCCGGAGACTCAGGGCGGCTTACAATGCGTTAAGCAATAGCCTTCATCCTTGTATATTTTATACAAAGTCAGCTTATTGCCCCCATAATCTGGGTCCTCATTTTACCTACCTTAGAAAGGATGGAAGGCTGAGTCAACCTTGAGCCTTGGAGAGATTCGAACCAGCAGAAATTGCAGGCAGCTGTGTTAATAACAGGGAGCACTAAACCACTGTACTATCAAGGCTCTTGTATATTGTATATTGTATATACATAATCATACGATTATGATTATGAGTGTTTCTCAATGGTTGGAACTGTTAAGAAAGGCGGACTTCAATTCCCAGAGTTTATTTATTTATTTATTATTTATTTATTGGTTCGATTTATATGCCGCTCTTCTCCGGAGACTCAGGGCGGCTTACAATGCGTTAAGCAATAGCCTTCATACTTTTGTATATTCCTGCTTAGTAGGGCTTTCGCCCCCCCCCCAGCGGTGTTCTTTTTTATACAAAGTCAGCTTATTGCCCCCACAATCCGGGTCCTCATTTTACCTACCTCGAAAGGATGGAAGGCTGAGTCAACCTTGAGCCTGGTGAGATTTGAACTTGCAGTAATTGCAGCAGCTGGCTATTTAACAGCACTTTAAGCACTTTAATCCGGTGCACCACCAAGGCTCTTATAGAGGCATGAGACTCTGTATCGGTGGTGGCGAACCTTTTACTTACCAACGCGCTTTTCATGCTGCAAGTGCTTGCATACCATCCGCGGTAATGCGCGGCTCCTCCCCATGTGCTGCGCGCAGAACCGCACCATCTGCATATGCGTGCAGCTTTTGCGCATGTGCACTAGTGCACGCTGCGTGTGCAATCTCACCATATGCGCGCCATGCACCAGCTTTCATGGCACACTGCATGTGCGCAAATGCTGTCTGCATGCGCGCACAATCTCACACGCCTGTGCAAATGTGCGCATGCGCAGGAGAGCTCCGAAGACCAGCTGGATCCCTTGAATTGCACGCATGCACACCAGAGGCCTGAACACCAGCTGGGGGGGGCGCACGCATGCGCAGTTTCAGGTGAGCTTGGCGAAGGCTCGCGTGCCCAGAAAAATGGCTCTGCGTGCCACTTTCGGCATGTGGGCCATAGGTTCACCAACACGGCCCTATACCGTTTCAAACTCTAAAAAGTGGCTGTCCAATCTCTTCCTAAAAACTTCCAGTGTTGGATCGCCCACAATTTCTGGTGGCAAGCTGTTCCACTGGTCAATTGTCCTCACGTTTCGGAAGTTTCTCCTTAATTCCAGGTTGTTTCTCTCCTTGGTTAGTTTCCATCCATTTGTTTCTTGTCCTGCCTTCTGGAGCTTTGGAGAATAGGTTGACCCTCTCTTCTGGGCTGAGCACTGACATCGGGCTGAGGCATGCCAGAAAACAGGCAAAGAACAGAACAGAATAACAGGGTGGGAAGGGACCTTGTAGGTCATCTAGTCCAACCCCCCGCCCAAGCAGGAGACCTTACACCATTTCTGACAAATGGCAGTCCAATCTCCTCTTGAAAGCCTCCAGTGATGAAGCTCCCACAACTTCCGAAGGCAACTTCTGTTCCATTGCTTGATTGTTCTCACAGTCAGAAAATTTCTCCTTATTTCCAGGTTGAATTTCTCCTTGATCAGTTTCCATCTGTTATTCCTTGTCTGGCCTTCCGGTGCTTTGGAAAATAGCTTGGCCCTCTCCTCTCTGTGGCAGCCCCTCAAATATTGGAAGACTGCTATCATGTCTTCCTTGGTCCTTCTCTTCACTAGACCAGCCATGCCCAGTTCCTGCAACCGTTCATCGTATGTTTTTCTCTCCAGGCCCTTAACAATCTTAGTTGCTCTTCTCTTTTTCCAAGCTCTCAACATCATCTTTTTTTTTTCTTTCATATGGTGATCAAAACTGGATGCACGATTCCAGGTATGGTCTTAGTAAAGTGCCACTCAGTGCAACGGGAAAGCATCGCTTTGTGGAAAAATGGATCCGCACTTAACCTCTTGGCCCTGTAACTGTGCAACGTGGCTTGTCTCATCTGGGACTCCTTTTGACAACATCTGAGTTCCAGAGGGAAGCCGGTTTAAGCCAGGAATGGCCAGTGGCAAGACAGGGACGCATCTAATGGACAGAAGTGCTTTGGTGTGTATGTGTTTGTGCATATGTGTGTGATGACAATGTTGGCAGTGGTGCAACCATTTAAAATTGGGAGCTATAAATGTCAAGGCGTGTGACTCATTGAAAAAGCCATCAATAAGCTGCAGGGTGAGAAATGTCCCTATTTACAGTGGTTGGATGTCACTCATTCCATGTTGACCTCACACCCAGGGGAATTCTGGGAGTTGAAGTCCACAAGGCTTTTAAGAGTTGCCAAGGATGGACATCCCCTACATTATAATTTTTTGCGACCTTCAGACAAGCAGAGTCAATGGGG